AGCCGTTGTGCGTTTGCTCCGGCGGCGGCGGGCGATCGCGCGGGCGGCGATGCTGGTCACGGAGCGAGAACCAAGTGACGGAGCGAGAGCGAAGTGGCAAATCCCTGCGCTCGGCCGGCTGTCGACGCTTTCTCTCTGTCGCGGTTTTTCCTCCGCTTCTTCGCTTTGCCACTCTTGTCCCAATCGAGACACCGTTTCGCGCCGGCACGGAATTCGGTTTTTGTTCGCCCCCCCCCCTACAGCACGTTGTCAGCTGACTCTAGAGTTCCGGGCTAGGAGCTATTAAAAGGGACGAACGAATAAATATACAAAAGGGACATGTACGTACAAACGGGACGAGAATTGAGAAAAACGCTAAAGTAAAATGCATTTCGAAATTGAAGCAGTTGTAATGACTCCTGGGGTACGGTTTTGCCACGAAATGTTCTTTTTCCTTTTATACGCTTTCACTACATAGTTTAGGCATGCTGATCACTAAAGCAGTGCAGTGATGTCGTTAGACTTTTTGTCATTGTGTCGGTTTAAGAAAAGAGAAAAGAAACTAGCATAGTTGTATAGATTTGAGAAATGGATAGTGATGAGGAAAATAGGAAATGGGAATCAAAAGTGTGAGGATATGGAATAGAAATATGAGTAGGAAATATATTGAAAACTAAACAAGAGAGGTAAAAAAAATGGAAAATGATGCTGTGCTTACTAAGGATATAAAAGACCGTATCACAGCTCATGTTGTGTAACAGTATGTATTTTATACAAGCTCAAAAGCATGCCGGCAGCGTTGAATGCGAAATGCGTGGATTTTTCGCCGGTACAAAAACGCCACATTCTGTTGAAGTCCGTGATTAGGATACAATATTTACGTGAAAGGATCTGCTATTCTGAACAGTAGTTTTCAAGGCATCTTCCACTCAGTTGTAGGTAGAGACCTGGGAAGTACCTCAACGAGTCACGGACAATAACAATCATCGACAACGAATCACGGACAAACAATTCTTCTCAGACTTTTACTGGCTTTAGGAGAGAACCTCAAAATCTTTCGATTTCAGGACGTCATTTCGGCACAAATGTAAAACAGACTGTTGTACTGCTAAATAACGACTCAAATAAAATTCTTAGCTAACTCATTCGTGACTAGTTTCTGTTAATGAGCTTCGTATATCATCATCCACCTAAAACATTCTACGTACATACATTGTCTGATTGAAATGGCAAAATGTACAGGTTTTTAATTGCTGATTAATACCACTATATTAACAACTATTCTACTCTGCTCTTCACAATACAAACAAAACGTTAAAAATAATGATTAACCATCAATCAAAAGATGACATCATACCCCGTCGCAATTCACTGCAAAACATCTTCCGAAAGACATAGCCCTAATAGGTCAATAATTTTCGCTCATTTCGTTAAAATTAGTACGCCCATAACATCAATTTCATCCTAAATACATTCTTTAATTGACAACGAGCCCGCTATTGTCTCAGCTTAATCCACCACAATCATTCTCAACATAATTACGCCGAATTGAAAAAGTAAATACTCCAGTCGCTCTCCCACAAAGGCCGCGCCGCCCCCGGGCGCCATTGGCGGGGCTGAATGGCCGTCCGGCGCGCCGGAGCGCGACCTCCGCAAGGCCCCCGAGGTTGGGGGGCGTGCGGGAGGGCGTGTGGGAGCGAGCGTGAGCGAGCGTGACGGGTGGAGCGTAATGCTGGGCGGCGGCGCGCGCGGCGCGGGCCGCTGCGTCCCAAAGGCAGGCGATCGCCGCGCAAATCGGAGCGTCCCGGCCCCGGCCGCTCACGCCCTCCCTGCCACCCGCAACCTGCCGCGCCCGGCGGACGCGAACCTTTTGCCTACCCGCGCATTGTGTGCGCGCTGTGCACTCGGCCCGGCGTGGAGTTGAAGCGGAAGGGAAGGGGGAGGACGAACATCGAATGACCGAAGCGGATTTGGTGGGTTGATACGATGATGCGGGGTGTCCGGACGGGATGAGAATGAGGGGAGACTATTGGGTGGGAGTGATCAGTGTGGACATTAACGCGGCACCATGCAGTTTCGCCCGCGGAGAGATGATGGCGCGGGGCAGAGGGCCAGAATGCAAAGGCGAGGCAGAAACAGGAGATGTTAGGGACGGTAGCAAGGAAGTAGCATTTGCCGTTGGTCGAAGCGACGAAAATATGCGGAATCATTGTCCAAAACGTGGGGAAAGTGAATAAAGACGTCATACGATGTTTTAGAAGACATCAAGCTATGTAGAATCGTAGAATATATAACGGGAGAGAGAGATGCATCAATGGCGAAATGATATGAAAGAGTGGAATAAGTTTCGTAACATTGGTGGTGATTGCGTCGTGAAGGTGACGCCGGACAGAATCGAGATAGAAGATAGATAGAACGGGTGAGTATACCTATATGCAATGCACGAAAGGTTGCTCAAAAGGACAACGAAATAGTATGAGATACGATCAAATAACGGTCATCGAGTATTCATGAGAGTATTTACGCATAATATTGGAACTGTCATGAGACTCTGAAAACGCAATAATCTCTGCTAAAGCAGGTGGAATTGCAATGCAATTTTATAAAGGAGGAAGAATATTTCATTCTTACTTTATACTCTGAAATCCCTGTTGCTAAACTCTAGCGAAGGAATTCCATGAGTAACTAATGAAGCCGCTCAACGGTTCGTATCGGTATCATCTCTCGCATTCCGAGGAGATCCTCTCCAGAAACCAGTTACAAAGATAATAAAAAACTCAATTTGAGAGGTTTAAGAAATAAAAAAGTCATCAGATTTCAAACGTCTAAAACGTGGATCAATAACTCTTTTCGATTTCCCTTCGAAGACAATCATTTTGCACGATTTTTAGCCAACCTTCACAATATCCGGAAAAATGTAGAAAAACGTTATTCAGAGTTTAAAGTACTACATGGACCCTTGAATACTTTACGCCTATTAGATATAAAATGAATGCGTTAAGATTTAAATTTTCTGATTGAAACCTCATTTACAACAAATCAAAAATTTTAAAATTTATGTCGATATTTTACCATGTTACTTTCTCTGTCGCAGAGAGGACAAACCAGGCGACTCATCTATTGTTCAAAGATTTATTTTATATAAATTTGCAACGGAGAAGAAAAAAACCTACCAAGAATACTCCCGCGACCGCCACAAGTTGAGAGAAATTGCACTAGAGAAAAAGGAAAGATAGCAAAGGGGTAGACAGTGTTATGACTGAGAGAGAAAAAATAAACTGAATAGCGACAAGTATTCAAAGGAACCGGAAGGGAAAGATTCGCTTTGAAAGTGTCTCGCTACTGCAGGGATGAAAATCTTGTAGATGCAGACTAGTTACCTGAACTGAAGGAAGAAAGTGCGCCTAGTGGCAGGCAGGTGCCCTGGAACGCGGAAGGAGGCGCGAATAGGCGGGCAGCGACACGCGAAAGCGCAACGCAGCCCCGCTGTGGGGCGGGGGGGCGGAGCCCCGACTGGAGGCGACGGAGGGCGAAGAGGGCGCGCAGTGTATGCGGTGGGCACGGGTGGCGCGGGCTCCGCAAATTGCGAATGGCGCGGCGGCGCTCCGGTTTCCGGCGAGGAGCGCGGGGCGCTGGGTTCGCGCCCGCACGGCCCCCCCATACAGGGTTCGGCTCGCAACATCGTTCCCGGGAACGCGACAACGACACCCGCAGTTTTAACTGGCGGCGACGCACCGTAAGATATCGCGACTCCGCGAATTCTGAAATTGTAGAATCATTGCAGAATTCACCTGTAAATAGTTTTTATGCAAGAAGCGTTGTCCAGTGAGAGTCTCCATTGCACTAATAGAATTAATTAGTCTGATGAGCAATCGGGAACGATAAACTTCAGCACTCAAGAACACAATAAATGAGATTCGAACAAGCAGGCAGTAAGAACCTCCGCGAAGTAAAACCAAAGACGTTTGTTTGTGACATGGAAGCTTGTACAACGCGGATATTGGTTAAAAAAGAAGAGATTTTGGTAATAATTACCACCCGATAATTCATGCTAGTCAATTACTTCTAGAACCAATAACGCGTAACACAAAGTTATTTTTAAACGAGGGCCGAATTAATCTGCTTCGGAAATTAACAGAAGACTGGTAAATAATAAAGGGAAATTGTAAACATTAGCCCTCCTCAGATGAGAGGGTTTCTCATTGGAGATGGACAATAAATCAGGCTTTTCTTTTTTCCCCACGAGAGAGGAAGCAAAAGAGAAAGCAAAAAAAAATATCGGTCCATGAAGAATGTTGTATCAAATGCTGAATCAGGGTACGTAACCTGTAGTACAATCTGGTTGAAAGATGTTTGCGTAATTTGTAAGTTTTGCAAGAATAAATGTAATTTGGAATTAAACCAATTCTCAGCTTTTTCAATCCATTGTCAAAGTATTCCAGAAATGGCTAGCATGAATAAATAAATTGAATACAGATAATACGTTGTCATGTTGTGTGGATACGTAATATTGGTGTCTGAGATCTCGGCATGAATCACACACCTGAATCAAATTCTCAGAGTAATGTATTTGTAATTCGCAATGAACATGGTGTCAGCAACATTCAAAACTTGATATCTTATCGAATCGGTCAATAAAAAATCGTCCAAAATCGTTTTCTCTTAAACTAAATGGTGCGATAAAAGCGGACACAATTTGGCAAAAATGGCGAGCCACAATATTTTTGCGAATCATAAGTAGTGAAATTTGCCATCATGCAATGAATAAATAAATGAATACAGATACATTCGTTGTGGATACGTAATATTGTGGTTGAGGTCGGGCAGGATACACACCTAAATCAAAATTTCCTCCGGACGTATCGAATTTGCAATTCGCATTAAACGTGGTGGTGTCAGCCAATTCAAAAACTTGATATTTTGTCGAATCGGTAATAAAAAATTCGTCCAAAATCGGTTTATCTCTTAGCTAAATGGTTGCGGATAAATGATTAAAGTGCGTGTGGCGCGCGCGTGTTTAGATCCTGGCTTGGCAACGTTTCTCGGCGGCGGGCGGCGCGGTGGCGCTTGCTCGCTGCTCCTGGTGCCGGCGGGGCGCGTCAAGGTGGCGTTTCCGGGAGCGCGCTAGGCGCTGGGCCAGCTGGGCTGCGGCCCCGCGGGGGCGGCGGAGGCGGCGCTGGCGCGGCCGACGCTCGCTGGAGCTGGCGCTGCGCCGCGCCGACGTTGATGCCGGCCGGCTGTGCCCGTGGCAACGGCGTTCCCACCGCGCGCGTGCGCGGCGCCGCGCCGAGGCGTGCGGCCCTGCTGGTGCGACGCCCGCGTCGCCGCGGCGACGCTCGACGCCGCCGCCCTGCGCAGCTTCAGCGTCGCCGTGCGCCGCCCCGGCGCCAACGCCTCCACCGACGCCTTCGACTACACGCTGCACCCCGACGAGCACAACAAGGTCGGTCGCGGCCCGTTAGGTCGGGCTTTCCACCCGTATTCAACTACTTTACTGGTCGGATAATAAATAAACACACAATTTGATTGTTTTTTAATGTTTTTGAAAAAATTACATACTTATATATATATAAGTATTATATATATACATATATATACATATATACATATATACTTGTGTAAATGAGTTCAAATATAACCACGATTAACATAAAGAGCGTTTATAAGTCAGAAACCCAAATATGATTATATCCTACACCCCCACGGGAACAACAAAGTGAATAACAGGGATATATTATGAATGTGTAGGTTGAAGTCGCGCGGTCCAAGGCGGTTCTGAGCTTCAATTATTAACGATGCATACATAAATTAAATCTTGTTAAAATATATAAAAGACAATGCATTTATATGTAAACAAAAGTATAAAATTGCAATTATTACTCAAAATTAATATAATTTTAGCGTGTTGCATTTGCACTACTAGAAAAGCAATGCCCGCGAAATATACGTCAATTTGCAAGACTACTAGTGTTCTATTAAGGATGCTGAGGAAAATGCTGAACTCTTTTACTATCCGGATACATAATCAATCCAAATAATAAAGAAATGTAATAAAATTGAATATCAACGCATGTGTGCCAAGACCTAGTATAATATAATAAAAATACCAATATTATTATAATATTAATTCGAATCTCTAACAGCAACAAACATAACAAACTTTCTTAAAAAACGTCTGCCAAGGCTTCATTTACCTCAAGTTTCAAGGAATATATCTCTTCTTATATTAATTACGCGACGTAGCATTTTTTACAATGCTCCTCTAATTATTTTTGTCATCCAATTTTTCTTCCATATTTTTTTCTTGTTTCTCTTTTTTCAATCTAATGTCTGTCAGGGGATGTCTGAATGAGGATTATAAATCGCAAAATATCAAAATAAATCCAGGAATGCACACCCTTGTTGTCATGTCCCAAATCTGTCTGACCTATTCGTCAGCCGGGGTTACATGCACTGAATTTCATGTTTGACTATTTCATTTACAAATTGAATACCTGTTCGACAACTAACTGGCCTGAAATTCAATACAGCCCAGTCTCTCCAAAGACACTGAATAGCGTTCGGTATCGCTTACAGCTTCCCCGTTCACCTTGAGCTGCACCCCTAAAGAAGCCCCAACTCGCCTGATGGTTGCACTTTCGGCACCAGCGTAAGTCGAAAAGGTCGCGGTGATGTCGTCGCGTACAATACATCCAATGATTCTTAACATTGGATTTTGTGATAAAGATTAGTTTACTTTTATGTTATATGCTTCATCGATCTATTCATGCCCTTACTAAATTATTAACTTGAGAACGTATTGAAATCACATAGGGCATCAGATAGTTTAATAAGATTCCAACGTTTAATCCGTAATTATCCGTCTAATTATCAAAATTTTCCTCTTGTTGTTTCTAATCCGCGGATTGCGAGATTTCCAGACAGGCAGCGAAGGATAGTATTTACATTTATTATATTTTATTTGTAGTAGTTGTTGAAAAGTATATTTTAATTTCTAATAAAATTCCACCGGCTGTGTAGAATTCATAGTGAGAAAATTCTCTTAGGTTTATGAACATTTACAGGCTCATATACATTTGAAACTAACCCCTTCCCATACACTAAATTAACTGTATTAGCCACATTAAATTATGTGTTCGGAAAAACAAGTTCGATATGCACCGATCACAGTGAAGACATCGCAAAATTCCTGCTAGAAATGATGAATTCGTTACCGAGTAATTTGGTCCCACTTCCAGCATTGTTTCGTGGCAGAAGTACAACTGTATATCCTACAAGCTTAAATGTAAGCTTCAAAGACAGTTCTCAGTTCTTTAGATAATTTTTAACAGTTCCTTACACCAGTCTGCTGGCAATAATACCCCAAATAAATATTGTTTAAGTTCAATAATTACATTAAAAATGTATTGTTTCTAATCTTTCATACTTTAGGTTACGTGAACATCGCATTTTTTACCATATCTTTTTCTCTCCCTGCCTTCTTTTCGTCCCGATGTTTTCGTTATTGTGTTTACTCTACCTATTTTTAGCATAATTTTCCTTCTGACTTTCATGCTTTTCACTTTTCATTTAATTTCGTTTTATTTTTTCTTCTATCTTCTCTTCAGCATCTCCCATTTCATTTCCGTTCTTTAGTCCTAGATTTCACCTTCACCCCTATATTTCATTTCTTCTTGTTATACCTTCTAACACGGCATTCCTCTTTACCTGCTCACCTTCGCATGCCTCCCTCACCCTGTCTGTCTTTTGTTTTCTTCTGTAGTACCATTTTTTTCGTCCTGCCTTTCATTTTTCAGGCCTTTTTATCGTACTCTTTTTACCTCTTCTATGTTCTCTAGTTCTACGGTACCAAACACCTCTAACAGTCTTTTCAATAACTTATTTCTCCAATCCTCGTTTCCTTTGCAGTTCTTCTGCGGTGAGAGCTTTACTCACCTCTGGATCTCCGTTAATAATTTCTTCCTTCGCATTTAGTAGCTGCTTCTTCTTCTTCGCCCCACTCTTCTCAGCCTCGGAGACGACACTATTCTCCTCTTTCTCCCGTTCTTTCTCCACGCCCCCTCGCGCTGCCTTCCTCTCTGCCAGAGCGTGCCCCTTACAGCGTGCGTGTGCGTGCGCGTGTGTGCGGCAGGGGGAGGCGCACTTCCGCACGGCGGCGCGCGCGCTGGCGGGCGGGCGCCTGCTGTTCCTGCCGGCGGAGGGGCTGGTGCGCGTGCGGTGCGGGGGCGGCGCGGGGTGCGCGCTGGGGTCGTCGGCCGGGTGGCCGCCGGCCGGCCGCCCCGCCGCCGCGCCGCCCGCCGCCGGCGACTTCTGCGCCAGCCAACCTCTCGGCCGCGCCTCGCCGCTCGCCCGCCCAGGAAACACTCTGGTGCCGCACAACCTCACCGACGAACCTGGGCGCGCCCGCCTGCCGCAGCGCTGCAAGGACCTCGACGCCGAGGGCCGGCGTATGCCAGCTCAGCCGCCGCCCTCCGGCTGCGCGCGACCCTGCGACAAAGCGGACGCGCTGCAGTGTGAGGGACCGCCGCCCTGTGGGCACCAGGAGACGGTGCTGGCTGAGATTAATGAGGCTAGTGTTCACCGAACTGGCTCCAGTACGAACCAGGCACGCGCTCACTGTTGGAGGCTCTCGATTTGCTGCTCGCGCAGGGAACTGAGTTATCGAGATTTGAGTTAACGTGATTCAAATGTTGGGTTTTCGAGATTCTTCTACACATACCCCTGCTCAAATGCAATTCCTGATATTATTTTCTACAATTAAGATCAACAGATGTTCGCTCAATAAAATATAAGTAATCTGGAGTTTACCCAGTTTCACCTATTTCTAAGAAAAGGACTTATACACATTATTCAAATTTCATTTTATAAGCAACTTAACCATGGAATGCGACCTGTACCAAACATTATTAAAAAGGCGTAGTTTTACAGGCTACTTTGGGTAAAAATGACGGAAAACTCATTTTTAGAATGAAAAACTAAATTTAATGGATTGAAAATGCATGGTTTGGAGTTACAAAATTCACTTTAAAGGTTTTATATAGGTACAGCTATACACGTGAAGGCACAGCTAAACGACTTCACTCTCACAGGAGACACTTGCTTTGTGCTGTTCATACATGACTTTTGTGAAGCTTCCGCAGAAGTACTTCGTAATGCGTCCTTTCTTACAATCGTCATCGTTCCATTATGATTGCTAAATGTTCAGAACAAAACTTAAATGCTACAAGACAAGAAAATTGTTTCCATTATTTACAATATTAGTCAATATTGAGCCAAAAACATCTCTGATGTAGCTACAAAGGCGTAGTCTACTGGACGACGCGTGTAAAAATGGCGTACACCGGAAATAGGCACGGGCACAACGATAAGTGCATTTCAGGGGCAAGTAGGTACACACTCTCAGAAACGGGGAAAGAGAAGGGGGTGGGTAAAGCTTTCGATTCAAGCTGCGTCGTCTCTCAGATAACTCTTTTGTAATGTAGGGTTAAGTTGCTGCAAAGCGCTAATTCGTCATGCGTATCAACCTCGCAAGACGCATGCTACTACTGCCCCCGTGGCGACTGTGCGCAGCTGTTCGGGTGCCGCGCACGCTGCCTGGTGAGCGTGGAGCGCAAGGCGCTGTGCGCCGAGTCGTCGCGCGAGGAGGAGCTGGACGTGGACCTCACCTTCTGGCTGTACATGTCCATCCGCGTGCTCATCGGCATCGTGGGCGGCACCGCCTTCGCCATGTTCGAGGGCGCCGTCATCGCCATCCTGCGCGAGCACAGCGCCGACTACGGCCTGCAGCGCATCTACGCCACCGTGGGCGGCATGATCTCCTCGCCGCTCTCGGGCCTGCTCATCGACTGGGCGTCGCGCGGCAAGGGGTACACCGACTTCCGGTGAGACTTTCCTTCCTTCCCGCAGGCGGGCGAACTCACCCCGGCGGAGGCGGCTGTAGGGTACTGACCCTTCCCAGAGTGTTTGATATCCCGTACTGATGAAGTATTAGGATAAGAGTCTGCATTTGTGTCTTCTATGTAATTTTCAACAACAGTCCATTCTTCAACGTAAGCACCATGTTTTTAAATTTTCTTGGTTCATTTCAAGTGAGGCAGACGTCACTGTATTTATTTTTTATTTGATCAGAGCTCTTTGCCACCGATTAGAGGTCATTCTCAGGACTGTAGTTTTTTTAACTCATAAATAACTTCAAGCCAGTCATAATGTTTTATTTTTGCATGGAGCAAGGGCATTTCCAAAATTTTTATCTTGGGTTGAATTATTTCAATGTAATAGAGCTTGCAAATGTAGTTTTTTTTTATATTTCCTAATGTTCCCGGATATACTGGCCAGCGTATCCGGTCTTGTGTGATGGTTATGGATGTCTTCCGGTTCATCACACCATTAGAATCCTTTTGTGAAGCGGATATAAATCAAATTGACACCTGAGTGGAAGTGTTAACAAGAACTAGTGCTTTGTTGACCTTACATGTTAATGTGGAAACTTTTCCGTCAATTCCAAATTTTTCCATAAAAGTTAGCAAAATAGCAATTGTTTAAAGGCACATAACGCATATCTAACTATCGTATCTATGACACGCCAAGGTCTCAGGTACGAAATACTATTACACAAATTAGTCTACTATTTTTTTTACGAACTATAGACTTTCTCTACAACACTCTTTATAGGTAGAACTGCGTCGTACCGGTGGAAAATATTTTAACTCTCCTATGATGTTTTAAGGTCATTGTGTCAAGGCTGGATTTTAAATAATTTGTCACGAATTTATAAAATATTTAACATTAAAAAGCACTCCTGATTGGGATATGTCTCTGTATCACTGCATTTTATTGGTAATATAATATTACCGGAATATTTTTATGAGAAGCACTTTTTTAACCATTTTAATATAATATAATAATGTGTTATGTGATTTAAAAACTTTATGTAACGGGTGGAGAGCATTAGTAAGGAATGAATGCACCAGCTAGGTGTAATCGTTTTTCATGATACCTACACGTACACATACTAGCATTTCAACGCTTTCACTTTTTGTATAAATAGCTCTGAATAAAATAAAATATTTTTAATTTTCGTAATACTGGAAACCCATTAACAATGGAGCTCTATTTTGAGTTCCCCAAAAACATACAGAACTGAATGACATGAGAGATTGAGAGCAGCCTCAATTGAATGGCATGCCGTACGTTACACTTCAGGTAAAATTCCTCATTCCCACCTCAAGCCTGTGTTTAATAACTTTCACTTTACTATACCACAAGATTTCTCGTGTCTTGAGTGATACGCGCTCTAGCCGAGTGTTCTTCGGTCTGAATATGGGAAGGAATCTTCCCAGCGGGAGGCTCCCATGCTTTCGCTCAATGTCGAAGAAAGAACGCGCGCGGCGCAGTGCGCTTCGACAGACGAGATGGAGCTAGGCGGCGCCGACAACCTCTCCTCAAATGCTGTTGCGAAGGCTGATCATTTCGCGGTGGAATCTCCTCTACGGATACACCTTCCAGACGCACTCGGCAGGTTAAAAGCCGTTTCATTGTTGATTACATTTTCGTAAGCCATTTCATTTACTTGATCAAGAAATTTGAAATTATTAAATACATGTGTATGTAAAAATATAAATATATTCGAAATATATTCCAAACAAAACACTATTTTTGTACGATTACAAACACACAATCTGTTCACATTACAACTACACATTTTGTTTACCACATACTCGAGGATATGATACACGTCTTAAGAAGTACTGACAATTTGGTGGTGAATCCCTGATCACGCTTCGATGTGAATCTGCGAGTGCATTGTACTGCACACATTTTGCGGGAGAGGATTGTATCTTTTATCAGCATTCTGACCGCTGTGCGCAGGCCTGCCTTCTACCTATACGCGGGGATGAAGATCGCGTCGGGCCTGCTCATCCTGACCATCAACCTGGACTTCAAGCAGCCCGCGAAGAACGTGGTGTTCGACGTGCTCACGGTGCTTAAGAACGTGGAGTTGGCCGCGCTTCTCGTCGTCGTCTTCGTTCTCGGTGAGTCTGTGAGCTCTTCTGGAGATAATTTACAATCGATTTTTGCGCATTTAAGGAGCCCTCAGTGCAAGAGTAAAAAGTTAAAATGTTTTTTTTATGATTCGGAGACGCTACATTTATTTCTTTCCTTTACTACATTTAATCATTTCATTTCAAAATGGGAGCAAAAGCGGCAAAAATATACCGCAAAGTGGTTGTTCTTTTAACTTATTTCTATTGAAACACAGAATGCAAAGTGCAGTCACTCTAAAACCTTCTACATTTCAAGAACGTGGCTAATATAACATACACACTGAATGTAAGTTATAAATTGAATACAGCGCCGTGACTGTTCTAAACGTGAACAAATATCCAGCGACTTATTTTAGAATTGTGAGTGATTTTCCTATATTCAGTCTTATTACCACTTTAGAATATTAAACAGTATTATTGAATATTATTAAATAAATTTCGATAGCTAATCAAAAAATGGTAGATGAAAATACCAGGGATATCGAATATTTAAAATTGTTGAGGTTTCTTATATCAAAGACTTTCTCTAAACTACAGCGGGTACCAGTTCTAGATATTGTAAGGAAAATCTAGAGTACGTTAGAAATAGTCAAATTTTTCGACCGATATTTCATTGACATCTTTCAACTATTCCACGTGCAAAGATACTTCTTAATGTTTCGAGTAACATAAATTTTCAAAGTAATTTAACCTTATTTAGAGGAAAGTTGAAATGCAACGAATACAATTAGAGATTTAATGAAATTTGACACACCGTTGTTCGAAATTTCGAGATTCCTTTATATTAAACATTAAGTGACCAAGTAAGTAAGGTATAATGATTTCTTCTTTGCCCTAAGAGTTGGCAGAATAATTTCCCCTGCTGCGCGAGGACGGGCGTCGGTGAGCGAGCGAGCGCGCACGCGTGCGCGTGTGGTGTTGCAGGCGGCGCGTGGGGCTTCATCGAGAGCTTCCTCTTCTGGATGCTGCAGGACCTGGGCGGGTCGCGCTCGCTCATGGGCATCACCTTCACGGTGGGCGGCATCGCCGGCATCCCGCTGCTCGTGCTCTCGGGCCCCATCATCGACCGCTTCGGCCACGCCAACGTGCTCACCGTCGGCTTCCTCTTCTACGCCATCCGCCTGCTCGGTACGCCACGCCTTCCCCCGCCCGCCCGCGCTCTTTTCCTAATCAGAGGGAAAAGGGAAGGAGGGAGGCAGAGGGAAAAAGGGAAGGAGGGAGGCAGAGGGAAAAAGGGAAAGAGGGAGGCAGAGAGAAAAAGGGAGGGAAGGAGGGAGGCAGAGAGAAAGAGGGAGGGATGGAGGGAGGCAGAGAGAAAAAGGGAGGGATGGAGGGAGGCAGAGAGAAAAAGGGAGGGACGGAGGGAGAGAGAAAAGGGAGGGAGGGAGAGAGAGAGAAAAAGGGAGGGAGGGAGACAGGGAAGGAGCTAGAGAGAGCCGCGGAGACTGATCATTAAAGGCGGCAGCTTCTTAAGGGCTATAGGACGGCACACTTCACAGAAATATCAATCACAGGAAAAGTTGCAGAACGTATTAAACTTCCTCTAAATCGTCTAATTTAATTTGATCACACCACCAGCCCACGTTTTGAGAGATAATTTAATTGCATCCGCCCGCGTAAGCGAATGTTTAATGTTTTTAAAATGGTCTGAATCGGGACTATCGCGTCGCCGACCGTAGCTCATGCGCGCATGCTAGGCTAGGCGGTGATACTGGGAGTTGGATGGGGGCAGCGTGTTGCGCTGTGAGTTCGCGCTTATTAACTAAGCTAAGAAAATCAACCCTTTCTTCTGATTTGATAAACTACTGCTTTATAAAAAAAAGTCAATTTTTATGATCACAATTATCTTCCGTTACCAACCTAAATGTTGACTTTTGCAAGTAATAAAAACCTGTTGCATGAAAATCGGTCGTACAATTACATGCTGTACGCTCGTTCAAGAACTGTTCCGAAGAGAAAATTTATACTATTGTTTGGACACGAACGCTACCCCTCCTAATTTGCAACCCTCTGGCCGCCACTACTTCTAATGCCGGTTGGCCCCAGCAATGCATTGTCCAATTGTTTGTAATGTTGAGTCACTCGAGAAAATGAATGTTCACATAACTCACAGAAGAACAAAGTTAAATTTGTTACATTGTTAAAGTGAAACATAGGATTGTATTTAGTTGAAATAATGTGAAAATTAACGTTTACTTTAATATGCAAGTAAGGCTGTCATGACTGCTGGCTCATTTCAGAAGGCTTTTAGAGTTGAGTTGAGCTTTTAGAGTAGAGGTATTTCGCTCGAGGAATAAAATGACGAATGAATATCTTCGATTTAACACACTAAACCTCTGTTGAAAAATAAGCCGAACACTCAAAAAAGTACGAATATACAGCAAAAATATTTACGTTGAGAAACAACGTTCGAAAAAAGATCAAGTCGACATCCAACAAGGGCTAACACTAGTTTTGCGTGCGCGTGCTTCAGGGTACTCGCTGATCTACAACCCGTGGCTGTGTCTCATCTTCGAGGCGATGGAGAGCATCACGTCGTCGCTGTCGTTCACCGCCGCCGTCACCTACGCCGCCAAGCTCAGCACCACCACGACGGACACCTCGGTGCAGGGGCTGCTGGGCGGCCTCTACTACGGCGTCGGTCAGTACACTCCCTCTTTCGGCAATGGCGCGGCGTTATCAGTAAAAACACTTCGTTTAATTAACATTTCCTCCAAGGATTGGAGTTTCATCTACTTCAACGTTATCTTGTCAACGCGGACGACTGCAGCGGAAATAGTTTCGCGCGGGAGATAATTTCGTAGGGTTGTTTATGTTTTTTAAATTCTGTTACTCTCGTAACAAAGTTCCAAGCTCTTATTTCAGTATTAAACACGGAGAATGATCTCATTAAATGTAATTGTAAGTCACTAAACATGGAGTTATTCTCCTTGAACGTATTATTTTTGTCATAATTCAATTGCCTTTTAGTCCTATCGGCTGGAAGCAGTTAGTATCGGGGGTTCTTAGACAGTCATCCAACCAGGAATCCTCGGCGACTCGAGCTGCTTAACGTCTGTGACTTTACTGAGCGTGGTTAAGCAGTTTGGCTTCGTACACCGGTTCTAGTCTCGCGTAAAGAATATAACTATTTAAGTCAAATTGTGACTGTGGCGTATAAAACAAGGGGAAATCACCATCCATCTTGTATCATTCCTGTAATCTTTTTACCCTATTATTAGTAAAACTCATTTATTCATAATTTATCAGGAGTAAAATAAAGCCGTATGCTAGTCGAAAACGCTGGTAGATCATGGAGGTACACGTATCTTTAATCATACATCAGATTCTAACAAATGGGATCTGGAGTTAGTAAGACTAGAGGCTCTGAGAGACATCCTACACAGACGGACCAACGTCCATACTTTTGTAATGAGTGGGTTTATTCACTAGACTTCGCGATCTTTGCACCGGTGTCAAAATTTAGTACTAATAGTAATAGTGATTTAATACATTAAAAATTGAATTACATAGTACGTGATACAACAGAAGTCGCAAGCATGATAAAGGGGTATTAGTATATTACTTTTAATTTAACGATAAGAGCTCTTTTTTCATTCACAGTTTACACTGAAGCGTACTGCCTCGACCGAATTCGTACCTGGATACCAGCCAATAATTTGCTAAAAAAATTATACAACTAGGTTATTAATAGTAAACTCATTTTAATATTAAATGTTTAATTTAGAAAGCAATAATTTAACATCGAATTCACTTTTAGTACGAATATTCAATATTAACAGGAGGATCCTTTTTGAGGAATAATTAGGGCCCCTTAAGTAATTAATGGGGCCCTAATTGTTTTTAAACTAGATTACTTTGATGCATAATATGACATACGACGTGCTTTGGGACACTTCGAAAGAGGAAACCCCAATTTTGTTTAAATAAAATATGTTTTAGCTCATAACTTCGTAAAAATAATATAAAATATTTTTTGATAAGGAGATAATTAATTTTGAAATAAGTTTTCATTGATGTGTTTAGCACGATGAAATACATTATTTCAGTGTTAATGGGAGAGCCCAATGTTTGATCATACTCGGATTGCCTTTCACGCTTCCGCCCGTTGCTTGCCCGCAGGCCGCGGCGCCGGAAGCCTCATCGGCGGCTACATGATGACGTGGATCGGCACCCGCCCGACCTACCAGGTCTTCGCCGCCAGCTGCCTCGTCATCGGCGTCATCTACTTCCTCACGCACAAGCTGTACCTGCGGCGGCGCCCCGACCGCACCAGCAACGACATCGTCAAGATCAAGAGCACCTTCCTGGGCGAGAAGTTCACCAAGGACAGGCCGGGCAAGCCGGACAAGGCGGAGAAGGGCGAGAAGGGCGACAAGGCGGACAAGGGCGACAAGGCGGAGAAGACGGACAAGGAGGGCAAGGGCCAAACGGAAGCGCAGCCGATCAACGTGGCGACGCCGCGCTCCTATTGTACAGACCCTCCCAAGGTGCGTGCGCCTCATCCGTCTTTCGGGACTAGAGAGAGTAATTTATGCGTCAGGGGCGGTGTAAGGGCTCTAATGGCCGCGTGCTGACAAAACGCCTGAGAGCTTTTTGTCCCCGCTCGAGCATTAAACCAGTTAACGCCCGTAATACATACATGATTTTATTTTTTACGGAATTTTAATGTTTCAGATTGACTCATTTACTAATTGACTAGTTGTTCACTTGACTTGGTTTGTTTTCATATTCCCCTCCCATAATTACCTCTATAAGGGAACACTAGCATCACTCAACTATTTTCATATTTTTCTCGTAACCACGATCCTGTCGACCCGGGTAAGGTATGTAGTGTATGTCCAAAGTTTAGTATACTAAACTGTGATATATCGAACTCCGCTTCGAAGGCAATAACAAACAATAACGTATCAGTAAAAGATAAAAGTTTAAAATAGCGTAGGTCACTCCCATAATTTCTTTTCCGAAGTCTATTCCTATCCCAAACCTACATGAGAAATCTTACATCATTCTCGATTGGAATTCACAGGTCCAGACCAATCGGGTAATTTACCAGACTCGGGCTTTTCCCAGCCGAATGTTGAATTGGAAATCTTACTTCATTCTGAATTAGAAACATTGACCAAGGTAAACCACGTTATTAATTTTCAGGAATTGTTTCGAAAGGAAACCACGTCTTGAAATATTACCTTATTCTAGAGTCGAAATCTTAGATCCAGATGATTAACATTTATTCTTCTGGGGATCCATTCGGTCATAATGCGGTTGCAAAGTTCATTCCATAGCGTTGCAACTTTGAAGCATACACGTGCGAACTCCAAATCTGTGGTTAGGAGAAGTTGTGGTGTCCACAACACATCCAATAGAGAAGACAAACACCCATTTCCAGGGAATTATTGGTACCTGCAGTCCTTCATGTAACGTAACGATTTTTAATAATCTAATTCTGATTTGTTGAAATGGCGAAGACGTGCCGAATAATTCAGCAAAGCTTAGAAAGTAGTCTCTACTTCTTTTTTCTTTCCTCTTTTGGGATTAGTCGTACATTTATTTGATTAGTGCAACCACAAAATAAGGAGATCTTTTGTGGTAAAAAAATGTCATTTTTTAACCTATTGCAAAAGAAACACTATTGTTAATTTTAATGAACTATGGGGATTTAACCCTTGATGACCACGGTGATACATAAATCACGTGCACACTGTATCGCGGTCTCTGTGATCTCTGGATTAAAATATATTGCGAATAAAAGAACCATAATCGCGATTAATTTCTCGGTGAACAATGTAATGTTAATCTTAATTGTTGTGTGAAAGATTACATGTAAAGTAAGATGACACATAGAAATAAAATCACACAAAAATTCATTTGTTGAAAATGTTGCCACATTTTGTGGGCAATGACGTGAAAAAAAACAATAATTCAAACATTACCGTTTTATGAAAATAGAATGTATAAATAAACTGCGGAGTTTACATTCAAACTTTGAACACTATGAAAAAATATATAAACTACATTAAATAATTTAAACTTTAAAATTACAATTTTGGAGCTCTTACCATAACATATTTTACAATATTCAAAAGTGAAATTGCTTCAAATTTCTTTATGACACTGCAGAAAAGCTTCATCGATGTCTAGATTTGATAAACAAACACGTTTAGTCGTGCTTATCTAGAATTTCATTGCGAAAGACAGTGTCAAACGTCAAACATCATAGTGTGGTTACGGGTACAGCGGTGAACTTCCATTCACTTACAAAAAACAACCAAGTGGTGCTACAACAGTACGTACTTTCTCGCATTACTTTTGTTGGAAATCAGTCTCCATCCGTAATCCTCAGTTATCCTTCGTACCTGATCAGAACATTTTGACTTAGGACTGAATGAACATCACCTCACCTTAAAAGTTTAAAAATTGTCGATTTTGGAAACAAGTTTGGAAGCCTGACCTTTAACAAGCTGAAACCTTGCTAACTGGAATTCTGTGATATGTTGAACTTCCAGTGTCCCCCTTCACCTTCCTTAAAAATGTGGGATGAATTCCGTAGCTCAAATCACCCAAGTGTGTTACACGAAGTATATTACTCCAAATTTGTTTTCAAATACATTACACGACACATTTTAAACTTAGTATTTATGACACTGCTTACTTAATTTTAGCTGTTCTGTTCCTCCAACTCAAACTCACCTTTCAAACAATTCGGTTCTGCTACAGTGAAAAAATGTACATGGTTTCTCACTGTTTGGGGTACGGTGTTTGCAGGAGGCCAAGACGGAAGCCGAGAAGAACGCGTTGAACGCGGCGCGGACGGACGCGGCGGCGGCGTCTATTGCGGAGGCAGCCGGCAGCTACCGCGTCAACCTGGGTTTCGAGGGCGACGACGACGACGCACACGACAAAACGGCGTAGCCGCCCAACCCCTCCCTCCCCTCTCGTTCCCCCCTCCTCGCCCATCCCCGTCCCCGTCCCGGCGCCGGCGCCGCCCGCCTCTCCGTCCGAACCCTCCCCCGCGCGAACGCGACCGCGACCGCACCCACCAATTCGCTTGTATCATAGCTTGTACATACGCACTGGTTTCAATAAATTTATTCTACACAAGGGACGACTTTTCTCTCGATTCCTGGGGTGAAACCTTAATTTCTGTAATTAAATATGATGTTGACGTTGACATGTTTGAAACAGTTTTAGGCAGGCACGATGTTGATACATTCATTTAATATGTCATGGGGGTAAGTATTGTAAGATAGTCTATTAACATTTATATCTGGGTTCTCAACGTGCTTCATGTATATGTAACATATCCACAGAATATTTTTTCATTTATAATAAGTAAGAAATACCTTTATTTCCACTATTATAATATGCTTTGTTTCTTTGGGTTGTGAATAACCCACCTCACATTGCAAGGGAGTATGGACATACAATGACATGCGTGTTGTCACGTTTTATCATGTATGGAAATGATTATTGGGTCCGCGTTGCACCACCTTTCGTGGGGCACCTGAAATATGGTGATATATCTGGCACACCAACTAAATGTTATATCTTTTAAATACGAATATAAAAAAATTATCCTTCCTGGAATCTCAGGAATGTGGATTCCCTACAGTAACAGGACTCCCACGTTCAATCAAATCAAACGAGTAAGCCTTTCAAACCAAATATATTATAATCTCTTTTTACTCTTTCTGGCTCATTAACAAAACCATAATACATACGCATAACGTTTCAATGAAATCTTCTTGGAAGAAACAACAATCATTATAAGCTAACATTCACTGTAGTTTTTCACCGACTATTCTTTCTGCTGACCTTCGCAATTATAGCATAAGTATAATACATTACTTGATTTCAATTTTACACTACGAGAGAAAGATTGATTTATTCAACAATTATGACTTAACCTTTGAATAGTTAGTAGTCCTCCTTAACATGATTTTTGCATTACATGATCCTACTAGAGTTTCAAATAATAACAGAATCCTCACTGGATCGTTCTTACATGAATTCATCTGCAGGTTAACGAGACGTAGGTTACACTTGGGTTTTGTCGCCGTTCTTGCCTCACCCCGTGACCTTCGACCCGTCTCGCCTCCAGTCGTCGGTGCCCAAGATCATTGACGTATGCTGCCGGTAGCTCACTGCCTCAAGCGGTCCCGCATATCCATATATTTCTTTTCCCAGTCACGTAATGTGTAAAGAGGAAATTAAATCAATCCAAAGTAACTTTGTAATGGAGTGTCTAGTCCACTAACCACACCAAGAAACCCTTCCTTGTTATAACCATACAAAAGACTTCTAAATTATAACCATAGAATGAAGAAAAACTCTTCTTAATTATAATCATTCACGAAGAAAAAGAAAAACAGAGGAATAACAAATACGGGTAAATTACACTAATAGGTAAATGCACGTGCTCTCTTTCATTACATTACATTAAATTTTTATCACGCATTCTTCCTTCTACATATTTGTTATATTTTCATATATCTTTAAACAAGTTAATTTACCTCTTCTGATTTATCTGTGAAGAGTTTTTGTTGTCCGTCCGTGTTTAATACAAATGATTCCTCGTCCTGCTATGCCACGGAACCCGACCTGTCCGTTCGGCCGCTTCGTATTGAAAGAGCGCTTTCCACTAGAGCTGGCAGTTGCTTTGCCTACTAACAAAACTAGCGTATCCTGTTGTTACCTTGAGACACTATGCGCGCGTCTTTCAAACCTACTTTCCTCTCAGTGGTAAGAGAAATGTGGCGCGTTTTTCCCTTTACATATGAAGAATAGGTAGTCACAATACCTGATGCACCGCTGATGAAAAATAGTCATTTCAGGCCAGAAACAAATGACTTGAGTTATAAATCAGATTAGCATCGCTGGAAATTGTATCGAATAGGGAAGTAATCTCTCCCGGTACGCAGAAGAACTGAAGAACCGGACGATATTGTCTTAAATAACCCTTAAAATGATGTTAAATTTCATGCAAGGAAAAATTCAGCATAAAAAACCATCAGGATGCACCAGCAGGTCTTAGCCCCATTTGTCAAGCCTTCAATCACCAGAACTTTTCCACTTCACTCATTAAATTAATTGAAGATATTATGAACTTTAAAATATGGCAATCCTGAGAAAAATGTTCAAGATAATTTGAATACCTTATCTACCTTATCATTTTATTAAATACCTTTTCATGAAACTTTCCCTATTGGCGGAATAACAAAATAATAGGGAGTACCATTCTTCCAACGTTCGTGAAATGAATTGAAATCATTTTGTTTTGAACCGATCAGGCTCCTAATTTGATTTGTCATAAACGAGCGTCAAATTAATTGATCACATGACCAAACGATCAACGCGATGGTTCACTTGATTGAATGATTAGTGATTCCGGACGCTAAGGTCGTTAGTCCCGTAAGTGTTGTGCATGTTCTTTCCTCTGAAGATGGCGGTAATTTTCCCCGCTGGATGGTGAGATCTGGCGCCGACCTCCTTGTCGGCTAGCGAGGTTTTCCCTAACCAGGTATTTCCCCCAGATGGGCACTGTCCTAGCGGGGACAAGCTCTAAGCTCTCGACGGTCTACCGGCCTGTGTATTAGTGTAGCGTGGGTGTGTGTTACGGGTAAAATAGAACAATGAATAGGAAAGAAAGATCGTGCGCGGCCTGTGGCGTGTTCGTTACGGTTCTGCTCCGGTACTGTCTGGCATTGATAGGAGAAACAACGGAAAGCACCTAATCAGAACAGCCCGCCGCAAGAATTCTCCCCCAGAGAGCAACTAATTCGACCTAGCTATCTAGCTAGTGAGGGAAATCGTGCCCCAGTCGGAACTCGAACGTAGGGCCTCCCGTTAGAAGCATTACAGTGACATTAGTAGATACCCTGACCCATCTCAGCTGTGCGAAGCTCCACGAATACCAAAATCGTCGCTGGCTGCCAATTGTAGGTATGCTAAGCGGCTTTCATTATCTCAGGGAGGAAGAAGCAGAGAACTGATAACGATCTGTGAGGCGAGTGAGGCTTGTGAGGCGAGCCTTGTGTGGATAACCCCAATAGTCTTGATCTCGTCGAGCGTCCCAGCGATTTTCATATTTTCATACCTCTTAAGTATTTCCCATCCCTTGAGCATTACGCAAATCACTGTTAATCAGAATCGCACATGAATGTCAAATACTGGCTCCTATCCCAAGCGGCAGAGTTCTGCGGCACAGAAACACAAAAATGTTACTACCATGGTGTGACAAATGTCTAAATTGGGATTATAATGGGGAAAATAGTCCATCATGTGTTATTCCTGCTAATATATTTTTTCTCGTGAAATTGTGTCTTATGTTAATTGCATTTTTGCAAGAATTTGTGTCAATTTTGTTGACAACCCAGGGAAACTTACTTTCTGGTTTTCCCTAATATTTAGAACAAATTGTTGTCAATCATTACATTTTTAGACGATGTGATAGTACTCGTACTAACAAATATTTATTATCTACAAGCGATTCGTATCATGATAAGACAGAACACATATGATGTTGTACAAAACATACAGAACATAGCAGGCTCATGTTTACGCGGAAATTCCAAACAAAATGTCTCTTTTTAAGAAATTCATCACAGAAGTGAGACAATCTTTCAGCTTACACGGAGCTGTTGGTGTTATTTCTATAACATTCATTCACATGAATAGTATACAATAAAATGCATACTATAAGTTTAACCTGACAAAACATGGTCTGTCTTTATACGAAGAAATGACGCACCATATTCGCGACAATTTAACATCATCGGTTGGGAGACAAAATTGTCAGATCGTTTCAAGTGGAAACTTACTAAAAATTTTCCATCACTGTCGGGAAATTTTGATGGTCAAATAAAAAACCAAAAAACATTAAAATTGATAATGGCGTAGAAATATAATATTACAATACTTAATTGAGGCAATGAGAACACCGTTTGTTGAATGCTTTGTCTAGCATCGGAATTTGCTTCCGGTCAGCCGCCGAAAATGAACCTTCGTCTTGAGTCGTTATCTTACGTTGAAGGCCTGGCGTTGTCAAAGTCGCGCTGCTCGACCTGGCCGGCGGGCCGCCGCGCACCCAGTGTATTAGAAGATTCTAGTGAGTGTATTTATTACTTTATAGTGAACGATTTAATCTACCAAATGAGTGGTGGATAGTGGCCCCTCGGGGGGGCTACTAGAAATTTCAGGGTTCTTATAGTGGCAGTTCAATGGAAGTGACTAAAGAAAATCCAAACGGCGGTGAGTTTTTCTACGGGAACAGGGGTCCCCATTATCATCCCTCGTCATCAGCCTGGGCGCCTGTCCACGCGCTTACGCTGAGCAACCGCACATTGTACAAGGTGGGGGTGACATACGGGAAAACTCATCACAGAATTGGGTTTCAACGGCAACGAGTGCTCCGATTCAAAGCAAGAGGAAAAAGGTTTGGGCTTTGACGCATAGTCGGAACAGAGGAGAATCAAGTACAATATACCAATAAGTTCAGCTATGAAGATGCTTAGAAAATTTAGACAATCATGCTAATACTGCAAGTGATAAAGCTGTTAAAAATTCCACCAATATTCATTCATAATTGTTTATACGGTATGGATAATTCTAACTTTAGTTAGTGCATTAAAAAGTAGCAAAAAGGATTTTACTATTAAACAACAAAAAGATTTTTATAAAGTGAACTTTGTTAAACATTGAAGACTACAGAGGTTACAGAAAATTTTGCGATGAAAATAATAACATATCATTTCCTTCAGAGATTTTCCTATCATTCCAAGGCTCTCAGTTATGATTTATGTTTCTGGTAGGTTTAACTCTCAGACAGAAATACTCTTGATTGACTTAGCAAGACTTAATTACCAGTAACGCGGCGTAACCAAGGCAATATAACAAAAATAGAGAACCTTTGTGGTCCTGTGCTATAGATTTTAATGGAACACTGAAAATGCTAAATCTATTTATGCAATTAAATTATTTTATTCTGTAAATTAAAAGTGCGGATGCGCAGTGCTCCAAACAAAGTAATACAATGTAAGCATTGCCAGAGATTCAAACACACCCAGCAGAACCCTGTAAATTAAGTCCAATAGGTGTGTTCGTTGT